ACTAATAGCAAAATCATAGTTATGAAGTACCAACAAAAATAATTTTGTGATTGAGGTTCACTACAATATGAGGAACTGTATTAAACGGCTTAAGCATTAGCAAAGTTGAAAACCACTGTTTTAGAAGAAGTAGAACAGAGGACATTATAACACAAATGAGGCAATGTTTCTAAATTAGGGATATTTACAAATGCTAATTATCACACAAGCACTCAAGTATTAAAACATCTACTTTATATACCACACTCAAAAACCTTAATTAATTTCATTTTCAGAACACTCTTTATCTTACAGGGTATATATAACATCTGGATTAGGGAGCTTAAATAGCTTCTCAACATACCACACTCGGAAAGTACCCAGAGAGCCAAAAACCTAGATTTTTTTAAAAGACCATTTCCCTTAATTTTTCCTTCTTCTTATTCAACTCCTTTGTACAAAATATTCTTGAAAACATTGTCAGATACTATTAAAACTTCCTCAACAAAAACTGACTCCATAAAATAAAAACTTAAATTTCATTTCAGGGTATTAAATAGAATAAGGAGACCATTTTGTCCCAGTTATTTCCAAGTGATCAGGGGAACTGAGGTTCTGTAAAAGAATTACAATTGTGCATCAAGAATATAAGCCTTGATAGTCTTCATTTCAGGTAAATCTTGTTCTCACTATGCCATTTCTTTAGCTATGTATGTCTGTTTACATGTATGCCTATTTAAATATATGTTTTCACATTCCTAAGTCATAGAATTTGTAATAAGCATCCCTAAATTATAAATACATTGTAATATTTTTACTACATAAAATGTAAATGCCACATACATCAAAATGTATGCGATACTTTGGCAGAACTAATCAGATGTGTTTCATAATGCAAAGGGATTCAGTAGTTGTTTAGTATAGTACTTCAAAATATGACAGCAAATAAATGGAAACTAAAAACACAAAATGACACCTGATAGAAAATGAAGAGAAACACACAAATACATAGTTTAAGAGTCCTCCCACTTCCACCAACTGCTGAAAAAGCGAACAGATAGAAAATAATTAAGTATACAAAAACATTTTTAACCATCTAGATCTACTTGGCTTTGCTCATGTGCTCCATGCTGCAGAAGCAGCATATCCATTATTTTTAATATATAGAAAATTTTGTGTAATGATATTAATAAATTTCATGTAAGTGTTCTTTCAGGAAATTAAGTCAGAAATACATAAATATATATATATTAATACAAATACTAATGGAACACTAATATATAGGTAAAATGAAGAAATAGTTAAGCAAATTGACAAAAAGTTGAAGTGACTGAATAAATAAACTTTAACAAAGTTTTTGTTAGATTATAAGAGATATTAGACAAAAGTCTGTAGCATGAGTAATTATATAAGAAGAAAGAACTAAAATCTATTACCTAAGCTTTCATTGAAGGAACTTCCTAAAAGAAAAACCTATTGAACACCAAGCAAAAGGAAATTAGGAAACAGTGAATTTTAGTGCCTAAACTAACAAATATTTAACAGAAAACAAAGGGAAAAATGAAAAATTTTAATATCTGAGAGAACGCTAAAGTTGGATAATCCACTAACAAGATAAACTAAGACATAAGGAGGTAGATGCACAGTGCCAGTCTCAGAAATGAAATAGAGAACATTACTACAGACCCTACAGATTTAAGAAATATTTAAATAACTGATGAATAGTTCTATTTCAATAAGTTGAATATTTAACAGTCATGATCTGAGTACTCAACTAAAAGAGTTTTAGTTTTAGTTTTAGTTTCCAACTAAAAGGAAAATAATATTTTGAGAATATATTTCATTTTTTAAAAAGTAATATTTAAACCAAATAACACAACAATTTGATTTCATATAAATTAATATAAATATTGATAACACTTTTGAAGTGCAGAACATTTTTTATAAACTTGTATCGATCGACCACTGACTCATTTTATCAAATCACAGAGCACTGGTTTTTAGTCTTGCATGACAGTACGTGATATGTTAGAATATCTGTAGGTAAAGATGGGACTTTTCAACAAGGCTTTCCCTTGTAAAACATTCCTTTCTCCTTGAACACCTAACTATCTCTTTCTTTAAAATCCTTATAGGTTATACAATTTTTGATGTGGGAAAGAAGAATCAATGTAAATACTGCATGAAAGCTGAATCTATCATTCTACTGGCTTTTGAGGCAGCAAATATTTAATCCACTGATAGAAAATTTCTATTTATTTGAAAGCTATTTGGAATAAAGTAAGAATTATAAAATTTACAAAATATCTAATAGAACTCTCCATTTTATAATATGAAAATCCAGCTAGCAAGAATTTAACTAATTAACCATCTGAGGTATATTCCCAGGTAGGACTGATAGCCCTCTGCTTGACCTTGCATTAGATCAATGTGGGAAGGCAGCTGTAAAATCACTGTTTGCCAAATGTTATCACTCCATCAATCCAGTCCAAGAAGGGATGGAATGTGCACGGTGAGGGGACTTCTTTTCCACACACCTTTACATTGACATCAGTGTTTACTTGGACATCAAGTAAGACAAGTCTGAGCAGTTTCAATAATATTCTACACAGAAAGAGACAGACAGGAGACCCTGGTTCAGTGGCTGAGATTTCAAGACAAAAGAGGGAGGAGGCAAGGTAGTAAAGAAGGTCATGCAGATGCAGAGACATACGGTAGACGAAACAACTGACCCTTGTCTAATACAAGAATTTTCTCAAAGCCTTCACATTCCCTTTTCTAAGCAGAAACAGTGCCACAAATTTGAAGTATAAAATAAGACCGAGGTCTGTGTTTAAATAAATACACAAGCATATTTCTGTAAACCCTGTGAGTAGATTTTAACTTAGATGTTAAGAATAAATCTTTTTGAGTTGGGAGTGGTAGCTCAAAGCTGGAATCACAATGTTTATAAAAGCTGTATCAGGAGAATTGTCAGAACTTCAAGGCTAGCCTGGGCTGCACAATGTGTTCCAAGCCCTCTTAAGCCACAGTGTTAGACAATGTCTCAAAAACTACAGAAAAATAACATTTTGGAGAAAATTTAACAAACTGTTCTGGAAATCTTAAATAATAATAAGTTTTTCCATGTTAAGAAGATAAATGGTAAAATACCTTAAGAATACGATCTTGAATTAACTATTGGAACGTGCACATTTTAACTACTTTTACTCATGTGATTTTTTCATAACATATTAATTAATATGTGCTACTCTACTGTAGAAATATTTAGATATTAACCTAAAAATTAAGAATTTAAATTATTTTTGTGGGTACAACTTTTAAATCAGTATTGGAGATAGAGAGAATGGCTCTGTGATGAGTGATACTCTATCCTATCTTATTAGTACTTATAATTGTGGCAAGAAAAAAATGTCAGGAACTAATGATACATAGATTATTTTATCAATCCATAGTCTATATAAACCACACATTAGGACTATCTGTTCTTTGTGGATCTGTTTTGATTTGGAGAAGTTTAAACACTAGACATACAGTAATATAAAAGTCCACTCTATATGGCACAACAACCACTCTCCTCCATAGAACTGACACTTAGTTTTGAAAGTTGGAACTTCTTCTGGGAAACAGAAATTATAATTGCTCTTTCAAATACAGAGTTACTGAATTATCCTCAGTGACTAATCACTTGAAAGCATTTACATAAAAAGTCTGGTTAGTATTGATCCAATAGAAGGGACTACACTGAGCTATCTGGTCTATGGGACCACTTTACCTCCTCATACAGTAGGAAAATATAAGTAATTATATTTTTCTTCGAGGTTTTGTTTTGTTCATTTGTTTGTTCTTTCTTATCCTGATTTGATAATCTCAACTTGTGAGGTAAAGTGAAAGCAACTGTAAAATGCTTTTGTAATGCAAGAGAAGTAGAAACATTTCAAAGCAGCCATTGTGTCCCCCTACTCTTCCCCACCCCCATTTTTACATCTAAGCAGCTTGGCAATGGTTCTAAGGGGAAGTGTCAGGCACAAAGGTTAAAGGTGCAATTAGAAACTCCCACTCAATAACCCCTACACATGGCTTCTTCAATGTTTATGGTTATCTTGGGGAAAGCACTTAATAACTTAAAAAGAAAGGACTGATAAGTGATAACCAATGTACTATTTTCAATTACTATGTGAAAGCCTTAGAACACCTTCTTTATCAAAAGAAACTAAACACATGTGAAATGACAGAGGTCATGTAAAAATTGCATGTAAAATATACATGTAAATGGTCTTGAAGGCAAGATGATGTTTCTTGCCCAGTTCATATTTCATCTGTCTGGTCAATAAGGGTTACATGACTGACCCAACCACCCAGCTAGAATTAATGTGAACAGTCTACATTAGCCTCATGGACACATTTGAAGACCACACCCTCACAAGACCTTCTGACTTTTTATATAAATCAAAATTTTAAATCGTAACATTTCTAAGCTTGAGAAAGCACTATTTTATACAACAATAATCAATTCATTGTCCCAAGTATTTTTAGGTCATTTTCACATTATTAGAAAAACATACCAAACATGGGAAATACTTTTGGAGTAGAAAAAAAAAATAGAACAACTCCAGTTTTGAAGCTTATACTTGAAACTTATGGTAGTTATTATAGTGGTTAAACTCATGTAGCCCTATCTATTCCTGAAGTTTGGCACCAAGAGGATGCTTTCCAGCACAGCCAGCTGACACAGAAGATCCTACACTTTGAGCTCTTTATTATCTCCCTGGAATACACATTTACCCCAGGAGAAACTTAAGGGGAAAAAAATAGCAGCCAACATCCAAAGCATTTTCATAAACATTCCCTCCAACGTAAACATTAAACAATTATAAGCAGCCATGCCATTCAAAAAGCAGCCCATACACTTTAAGAACTAAATAATGATATTTCTTTAATATGTTAATTTTTCATCTGGATAAGAAAGACAAAAACAAAACCTCAAAAAAGTTTTTCATAAGTTTTATCAAATTTCTTACCATCAAATGTTAAATAAACTCTTGCTTGGGGCTGGGAAGATCCTCTGACAGAAATAGAACAAATAAATACTCCAACCAACACACAAATCGCCCGGAATGCCATTTCTTCTGATTTGAAAATTAATATCCAAGGGAAAATACCTTTAAAAGAGAGATGGGAGATTTGTGAAATATCATTTCACATTTTGGCAAACCAGAAAGACAGCAATGTAGACAGAGTAATGGCTTGGAAAAGGCAGCTTAAGGTCTGCAGCCAGCAAGCAGTAGGAGGTGCTGTGACTCTGATTCTCAAATGGAAACATTGGCATTTATCTGTGTATGGAAATCTTTGTAACAAGAAATTGCATTATCTTCCCCTAAAAACAATGTCGACATCAAAGCAGAGCAAAGCATCAAGGGAAAACTTAACTGAGCTCTTTAGTATCCTTTCCATTTTAATGATTGAGTAGTGATGAATAAAAAAAAAATTCTTCCTAATAAATACAGTGGTAGAGACATTCATGGGTGCCCATTCATCCTGTGTTCATTAACTCTTCTGGATTAATTGTCTCTGAAATAATGTTTCCATACATAAATCTACCTGCGCTCCATCCAAGATTAGTAAGTCATTTTAATCAGGTATCTGCCAATGCATTCAGACGACTAGGCAGCGGTTAAATGATGCAGATGAGGTCACCATGGACTCATGCCAAATTTAAACCAATGACCTAGTGGTGAGTAATCCACCAGAGCCTCATATCCACCAATGCACATTTTACACAAATCAACCAGAGAGTGGGCTATCAAAGTCCTAAACAGTAAATCAGAGACAATATTCTTACTTGAAAATTGCAGCTATAAAATTAAAATAAGCTATTAACTAATGTCTAAATACAAAGGAAGGCCAGGTACTGTTAGAACAAACCGATGTGAGTCCCACTGGCCACATCATGTCAGTGATCTCAGGAACACGAAAGAAATCTCATCACTTTTCATCAAGTGTAATTGTACAGTAAAATGACGAGCAGCCTAATCTGGAAATGCACCTTTACAGATTTATGTCATGTCGCTTTTTAAATTGATTCTATTCAGTAAGGAAGTGCAGTTACAAATTGAAAGGGCTCTTTTCACTGACACACAAGGAAACGAACAATTAAACAGACCATGCAATCTCAAACAAACATCTAAGGCAGTCTCACTGGTAGCACATATGCTGCAAGAGTTAGACATGAAACTCTGCCTCTGCCACACAGACAGAGGGGCCCCTAGAGATGTTTGTGTTGGTAATTTTCAAAAGACACAGCTTCTTCCTGCTTCCACAACCTCTTCACCCTGCCATCCCTAAATTAACTCGGAAGAAAATTGATTTTTATGGGTGACTTTCCCTTAGCAGTTTACCCCTGTTGACTTAAGAGTTAAAGCCAGGGGGAGGAGAGTACTATTAATATGTCCAGTCTTAGTCTGTTTATTAACCAGGTTGAAAACATGTATCCAGCTTTACATACTGCTATTACCTGTGAACAATCTGATATGCATCCCCTAGAGAAGACATACTCTATAAATTGCAAAGCATAATACTATCTAGATGATTTGATAGATCAGATAGCGCTGATCTATCTAACAGAAGAACCTGGTTTCAATCCCACCCACTGATGGGCCCTGAATGCCAAGTCTTTCTTTCCATCTCCCCACCTTAGCGATTTACAACTTCATTCCTTTAACTCACACAGTTAAATGTTCTTGGTGGTGCTTGGTCTTCTACTATCAGCAAATACGAGAATATTAGAATTATTTTGTGTCATTTCCACCGATTTTTTTTTTTTTTTTTTTTTTTTTTTTTTTTTTTTCCTTAGAAGGCATTGGAATACCCAATTTAAACTCTTGGCAGGTGCCACAGTCTCCAACCAGGCACCAGGCTAAGCTCCGGGAGCGTTTTCCTTACAAGCCGCGTGGGCTGCTAAGAAAATGCCCAGATTTGAGCACTCGGTTGAAAAAAGTCAGCACACAGACCCAGAAAAGTTCTATTTCGCTAACCGATCTAGGCTGAAAATCTGAGTCAGGCTTACCGGGGTGGGAAGAGACCCAAGTCAGCCACTTGCTCCAGGCTCGGAGGGAGTCCCTGTCTCCCAAGTCCTTCCCCCAAGAAGACCTTCAGTGACTTAGAGAGTCCCGAGGATGGGATTCTTACTGGCTGGTGCTGAGTTTCTTTGTAGAAGAATCCCAGGCGGGAGAGCCTGGGCACCCGGAGCTCTTCTCCACGTCGCTCAACTCCGCACCTCGGAGTGAATGGCAAGTGGCCGGGCGCCGGGGGCGAGCGCTCGGTGTCCGATTACAGCGACGCGGCGCGCGGCTGAGGCTGCCCGGGCGCACCGCCCAGCCGGCTGCAGCAGCGGCCCCGCGTGGCCCTTCGCATGTGCACGGGCCGCCGCCCCACCCAGGGAGCTCCCGGCCGCCAGTGGCAGGGAGCTAGAGGGAGGGTGGAGCACAGGCTGGCTCCGTGGGACAAGGCACTGGCGCAGGCTAGACTCTGCCTTTTGCAGTGGCCGCTCTCTGGGCGCGCTCAGACGGTTTAACTACGTGCGGCTCGAGGCAAGCTTGCAGGCTTGGCTTGGCTGTAAATATCCAAGTGCAAAGCAGTATTTTGCCAGATGAAGGATCCCTGCATCCTTTTAAGGCAAAGAGTTACCGTTTTAACCGCCACGGATCTTGTCTTTACCCTGAAGCTAAATTTTTAAAGCCAGCGGAGAGAAGCCTACTCCCTTCTCTCAGAAGTGTAACCTTTCACGAGTATTGTTTCCTATTGTGTTTTCCCAATGTTAAGAAGTCAGTAATTAAGTGACTTTTCCACTCTGAATCATATCTAGCACCTTTCTCTCCCGGACAATCCCAAAACATAGTTGTAAGGAATTCCATCTTTCTTTCTTTCTTTTTTTTTAATTGCTTGTCTGTCTTTGTTTTGTTTTCAGAATGCTGTTTTCAGTCGTGCCAACTCTGGAGCTCATAAATCTACGCACCAGCAAGTTATTTCCAGCCCTGCTTTCAGGAAAACTCGTTAGGCTTTGGAACTGACTTTGATGGGGCGGGGCAGGGGAGCGAATTACTTCTCCTGACCATATTGAATTAAACGATTGAACATCAAAAGAAAAGACTTTCACTCCCTGTAAAGTGCGCCTTTAGAAGTCACTGTGTGCTTCAGCCCAGCAGGTGTCAGTGTGTGAGGGAACCTTGAGTGCAATTTGTTTGCTGCTTATTTCACTTTACTAAATGAAGTAGAATCAAGTTCTTACCAAAGCTGTGACGGGAAACACCTAGATTACTAAGGAAACTCACTGCTCAGTGGGGCCTAAGAAGGAGACTTTGTCAGAGTCTGATGATTGGGAATGTCTTCCTTGGATCTAACTAGATACCACCTCTAATGTCCAGTAGACAGGATAGTCTTCAATGTATACTTGAGAAATATGAACATTAAGTAAAAGAAGTTTGTACTTTGAGTTAATGTTTCGTTGCAGGATTGGCTTCAGTTTGATGGTCTGTGCTTGAAGGTGAACTATCTCTGTATCCACTGGAGCACAGACTGAGTAGATTTGCTCAAAAGAACATACATAAATGGATAAGAGATGCTGAAAAGAGCTCCATGTCACTCAAGGCTAGAGCCATCCCAATGAAAAGCCCTAGGCTATGTCACTTCACAGCTTTTTGATGGTTAACTTTCTGGCCAGGAAGATATTTATAGAGTAATCATTATGGAAAACAATATGAAATGTCTTTAAAAAAACTAAAAGTAGAGTTAGCATATAAGCCAGAAGCCCCTCTCTGAACATTTACCTGAAATATCTGAGGTCACCAGGCCAAATGTTTGTCTTTCCATACACCTTGCAGCAGTATTCACAGGAGCCACTCCAGTCCCAGTGTCATAGTCACACTGAACCAACCTATAAAATATTCTTGTCATTGGGACACCATAATCACAAATTATACTGCACATGTTCCCCAGACTTATGGAGGAGAAAATGTCTTTTGCACAAACATGGTTAGATTTGGAGGGTGTGTAAATAGGCCTAAAGCAAAAAGACAAATGTCCTGTCTTTATTTATCTGTGAACATGGAAATGATTTTCTCACAGGAGCACAGATGAGAAAGCTTTCCAGAGACTGGGGTGGGATGGAGATCAATCAAATTGGACGAGTGGTTTGGCTTCTGTTTTAAATTTGATAGCACAATGTGGTGAGTATAGCTAATCCCTGAATTCTATGCATTTGATACTGGTAAGAGAACAAATTTCTGACATTGTCACCTCAAAATATTAAGTGATATTTAACTACACTGTCCAGTAAATACAGGTATCATTTGACAATATATAGTAAAATTATTTAATTCCAAGAATTATCTTCAAACTTACATGAGAGTATTTGGAGAAAAGCTTCTATTTAATAGATCTATTACATTTTAAAAATCAATGTAGAAAGGATTAAACTATCTTTTAAAGCATGTAATAAAAATTTTGAGCAGACCTTTACGACAGTTTATAAAACATGGAGGCAAGCCAGAAACATCTGCCTATATTAGAAAACAATCAGAAATCAACACCATGCTTGCTTGATGTACTTCACAAACTAATATCATACTTACACTTTACCCAGTTGTTTTCACGTGGATATAAACAAAAGCAAATCAGTGTCTTCAAATGTATGTAAGTACAAATTGAATCACTAGAAAGATAATTGAATTATCAATTGAAAAATATGAAGCTTTTTTGTTTTTGTTTTTTTTATTTTTTTTTGAAAACAAACATTTATAGACAATATTTGGGAATTTGGGTGTCGTTCTTTCCAAACTACTTCCTGCTGGTAAGGGGCGCTGTCATGGGGGATTCGAAGAAGATTCAGAAATCCTGGCTATAGTCTGTAAGGCTGCTTTGTCCAGCTGTTTTGAATGTAGGATCACCTAGTACTCTGTTTCAGGTGGTCTGGCTTGATCAAACCACATTAGTCTGGAAGGAATCCACATCTTTTCATTTTCTGTGGAAACAAAAATACAAATCCTTTTCCCCAGTAACTTGTCCTTGAACTTAAATTTTGGAGTCAAAGCATTTTTTTTTATTTAATTTATTATTTTACATGTCGATCCCAGTTCCCTCTCCCTCCCTCCCTCCCTCCCTTCCTCCTTCCCTCCCTTTTACCCT